GAAGTAAGCCCATCACTTTTTACGGATGGTAGGGAAACCTGGCTTGAATAACTGGAGATAAGACTGAAGAAAAGAGGAAACATAGGAATAAATGGCTTGCAGGTGTGGGAACGCATGAACAGAGTTTGTATTAAGTCCACTGAATTTCAGAGCAGTGGTGGATCTTGGGAAGATCTTTGTTGGCAGTACCCACAGTGAGCTTCTCAGAGTTTAGTGCATGGAGCGCATTACTAGAAGGAATCAAGACAGCACTGGAAGATAAAGTGCTTCTTGCCTGGAGATGGCAGATAGCTCGAGGGTGGGCATGGCTCACTGGCGTGCAGCGCATGGTCCTTTGGGCTGGGAAGAGCAGCCGTTTATTGGATCCGGCTCATGCTGCTGGTTCCCTTTGTCATTTTTCTTATGTGGTACAGAAAAAAATAGCATGAAACAGTCACTACTGTAGACTCAAAATGAAGACTTTATATAAAACCATGCCTTTTGCACTATTTATTTTCTTTTTTGGAATTTGTGCCTTTTGAAAAACTGTCCCTGAGTGAAGTGACTAGTTTTATTTGGCTCACCTTATAGTCTCAGTCAGTCTATCTGTCTGTCTGTCTGTCTGTCTGTCTCTCTCTCTCTCTCTCTGGCTCTCTCTCTCTGGCTCTCTGGCTCTCTCTCTCTCCTCTTAATGACCATATTACCAAAGCACATTGCCATCTAGTTGGACAGATCTTTGGGGGGGTCCTTCTTATGAGAACATAATGAACTCAAGCGGTACGGGATTTCTGGGTTGGTCAGAATACAGAATGAACAGGAAATTCAAGAATAGATTAGAAGCACAAGCTCTCTGTGTTGCACTCACAGGGTTCCATTGCAGCTCTTGAGGGCTCAGTATGTTTAGGCTTCCAGGAGGGGTTGTGGACGTATTTCCAGGGTGGGCAGTGTTGGGGTTGTAGGGCACAGAAGCAGCACTGGCTCACTTTCACTGTTCCATTTAACTCAGATGTTTCCTAAAATTTGTTTAAGTAAATAGGCTATTCACTTCTCAGGTAGCAATCGTTTAGTTAAATGTGATCAAAAATAGCATCAGAAATTATTCAATGTTATTAAATCTTTGTTTTAGAAACAACCTCACTGAAAATAATAACACAAAGTTTTAAATGTAGCAGGTAGAGAAATGTCTTTGTTGCTGGCCAGATGGGCTCTGTAAGTCTTTATTCTTCACTTCGCTTCTTAGACCCAAAACAGATGGAAGTTTTAGTAACGTTTATTGAAAGAGCAGAAGATGCTGCCCCTGCTCCTAGAGGTGAGTCAGTTGTCGGTCAGCCCAGCATTTAATTATCTTGATATATTTAGATCTTTTGTGACTTAGACAAATAGCCCAGAGAGTAATGTAGATGTCATTTTGAGTAATACTTTTCCCTACTCAGGAACATAGTTAGGTGAGAAACTTTTACATAAACTAACCACCCAGGCCCATACTAGGATCTAGTGTCTAGCATCGTCACTGTGCTTGGTGACCTGCTTCTGTAGAACTACTTCAACGGCAGCTTTTGTAGAATAAAGAAGGAGCTTTTTGTGCTGCTCTGCCTTACTGATCTCTCTCTTCACCTTCCCGTCAGTTTTGCATCTGTTGAACTTACTGTTTGTATGTGAGTTTATAAAGTAAATGACCAGTGAACTGGCATTGCTGTGAGTTTGCAGGGCTAGTTTTAAATGACTAACAGCCGGTGTTAGCTCAGCATCCCACTTGCTATAGTGACCAGCTTCTGTGGTGCCAAGTTGTTGATGAATGCGTGCAGTGTGGGCGGAGTAAAAACAATCCGCCATTGAGCATGATGTAGAAACTCTAAGCTGGTGTAGTTTGGATGAAGACAGTGTTTTTGAGTTGCTGAAAATATGATTATCCTAATTGGCAGGATTGTCTAATTGTACGTAAATGAGGGTGTTCTGCCACTAAATGCTCTCTTGTGTTCATTTTACAAATGAAACTAAATGTGCCATGCTGGCCCTGCCCCTGCTGTGCTGGCCCTGCCCCCGGGGCATGCTGAGCTGATGATTGAGACTGGGCATGGTGGTGCACCTGTAAGCCCAGCGCTTGGGAGGTTGAAAACAGGAGAATCACTACGAGTCTGATCTACGTAGTGAGACCCTTTACACCCTGTAAACCCTTTCCTAAATTCGGAAAAAAAAAATGAAACTAAATGTGTCATTTTCAGGTCAGATGAGGGTATCTGTCTTGATCTTTGACAAAGTGAGACTGTGATATATAATACAGTAAAAATTTGGTGTTGGGCACTCAGGTATTAATAACTTTTAAATCCTCTTCTATTACTAATGTCCTATAATTTAAACCTGAATATGCAAGTCAAGTGATTTGGTACTTGGAATTCCACCAAGGGGATCTCCACTGAATTCTAGTGTAGAACCTCTCTTATTTTTCTCTGTCATTTCAGGTTTAGTAAAAATCTTCGGATGCAGGCAGAAAATCTGGCTGCTGATTCACATAGGCTTTAGATTAGGTGGTTGTCAGCCAGAGCCTGAAACT